GCCGCAGCCGCCCGCCCGCACCATGGAACTCTGATACCGGGGCACTTGTCATCAAAAACAATACAAGCTTTAAACCCCTGGAAGCTGATAAGGTTGTAAGTAACATTATACTTAAGATACAATTTCCTTGAGGAAGGCGAATAGACATCCCTTCCCGAGCAGGTCAGCAGAAGATTTATAAGAATATTAACTTTCTGGAGCCGTGGAGGCAGTCGCAGTGGGCTGGATATATCCCCGTTGTCGTCGCTGCTGCCGTCCCGGTGCCAGGCGCTGCGGCGGGGTTTAAAAAAGCCCAGGGCTCAGCTGGGATGGATAACGCGGAGCCGCCTGATCAAAGGAGAGCGACCGAGCTCGTCCTCGCCACCCTAAAATCTGCCTGTTCTCGTGTCACAGAGAGAGTGGTTTGTTAATTATTGAGGTAGCAGGCGCTTCATCTAGAAAAGAAAAAGAAAACCACATAAAAGGGAATTTTTGAATAAGGTGTGGTAATTAAGCACTAGTCGTCGTATATTTTTGTATCCCAGTGTTATCTGAAGTTTAATTTAAATTGTGTTTCTGTGGCTGCGTGACTTACATTGTACAAAGTAGGAAACTCCGGCAAACAAGGTGCAGCTCCGTTACGTAAAGACTAGTCACCCATTTTTCTTTGAAATTATTTGGGGACTGTGTTTGTGTTCCCAGATGGCCTCTTGGTGAATCTGAAGGGAAATGGGATTAAATAAAGGTCGTGGGTTTGCTGGTAGCTGCCAGTTCACAATGTGGAGATATTTGAATAAGAGGACTGGCTGTTGAATATTTTTTTTTTCTGTGACAATTTAGTTACTGCAGCTTTCCCTCTTCTTTCTGAGGCCAAACAAATTGAAAAATAAGAATCATCAGATAATGATAAATCTGTCTCTTTATCTTGAAAGCTGGATGGTTTTGCACGTTTTGTTTATTCTCACTGGCAGTTTTTCCTGGAAGCGGCAATTTAAGCAGGATAAGTTTAGCAGGTTTAGTCACAACAGGGATAAAACGTGCAACTGCAACGAGAGCATCCTCCCCTCCCAGCGAGGGGTGTGCAGAGAGAGGAGGAACAGTCCTGTGCCGTCCTGTCCTGCTGCTTTATTTATGAGTAATGGTAGATCTCTAAGCAGTACCGTCCAACATATCCAGTGGGACCCTGTGACTGCTGCTGATTATTCCGCGTGTCTAACGTGGGATCTGCCTCAGGGTCTGCTGTTACTCGGCACCGGCACAGAGGAGCTCACGTCTGAACGTTTCCCTTTGCAGAATCCGCTCTGAGCTCCCTGAAGCCGCCGCACCCGGACGGCCCCGCGGTGGTCCCGCCGGACGGCCCCGTGGTGGTCCCGTCACCGCAGCAGCGGCGGGACTCGGACCGGTACTGCCAGCTGTGCGCAGCCTGGTTCAACAACCCCCTCATGGCGCAGCAGCACTACGACGGCAAGAAGCACAAGAAGAACGCGGCCAGGGCCGACCTCCTGGAGCAGCTGGGGAAGACCCTGGACCTGGGCGAGCTGAGAGGTGAGAGTGTCGGTACGTGGAGGGCGAGGAACCGCAGCCACGCCGCCCTCGCCCCTGCGGTTGCAGTCCCGCTGGTGCCGTGGCGCAGGGCAGACCCTGGTGCTCTTACGGCTTTAGGGGTTCCCGCTAATGTAGGAAACCCCTCCTCTGAGATGAGTCTGCCATCGCAGCAGCATCCTTTGAAAATTGTTTCCCAGGTATTTCTTCTGCCTCTTCCTGACATAGCCCTTTCGTTAGCACACGCTTCTGTCCTCGAGCAAACGGGGACGATCCCTGGGAGCTGGGAGGAGAACGTGTCACAGTGCTTGGCACATGGGGATGGGGATGGGGACGGGGACGGGAGGTTTGTGCTGGAGGCAGAGCACTCCCTGCCTCTCCCTGATGGGGAGATGGGCATTAGCAGTGTTCTGTGGCAATGGCCCTGGGTCAACAGCAGGAGAGAGGAGCCGAGCATTTGCTATGGGGATGTCAAACACGAGTTTTCCGTGTTCCACTGGAGGGAGAGCAGTGTCCGTCCGTCCGTCCCAGCCCCGCCAGGCGGTCCAGCCACGGTGCTCTCAGCTCTGTGGGCGCTGGCACCTGTGGGGTCCCTGGGGGGGCTGCACACAGCTGCAGCTGCTGGACCCCCTGCACGTCCCTGGTCCCCCCGGCACTGACGAGGGACTGGCTCCATCCCGCTGTGCCGCTGGTGGGGATGTGCCTGTTGGTACCGGCTGAGGATGCGGCTCAGGCTGAGTTCTGCACAAAGCGTCTCTTTAACATGGCTGTGTAACTACAGAGGAGAGGGGCCAGCCTCCTGTTGAAAGTTTCCTCTGTGGCCGTGATTGTAATCCTGTGTGCACACAACGTGTTTGGCTGCAGTAGGCTGAGGAGAAAGTGCAGGTTTGATTTTCAAAACCATGCGGGAGAGGAAATATGGTTTGCCAGCAAGACGTTGCATTAACGTGTTAAAACACCTCTTTTATTCTTTCTTGCTAAATGAAATAATTTTCCTTTAAATACCAATGGCTGTGCAGTATGTTGTGCATCTCTCGATCTCAAATAAACCTTGTAACGGTTATCCAGATCCTTCGTGTGCTACCTAGAGTGACTCACAATGCCATAAATGATTCATGCGGCTGAGTCACTGCCCGCTGCTGAAAACACGCGGGGAAATAAAACCCGGGACAATAACATGGAGGCGCTTAGTACTTTGAACTGTGCCAAGCTCAAGAGTGGCTGAGGATGTCATTAGCTGTAAATAAATTGATTGTAAGTGTTTTATTCATTTAGCTGTGCCTAGGAGAGCTGAAATCGGAGGGCTTTGTGCACTCATCGCCCCGTGCTGGTTCTGACTCCGTGGCGGTTCTGTGCGTGGTTGGGTTTGGGTTTGGCGTTGGGCAGCGCTTTGTGGGGTTACGGCCGCGCGCTCCCCGTGCTCTGCGCTTGGTTTGCCGCCTCGGTGTTCGCTAGAATGCAAACTCATTTCCTTCCCACGCTCCCCCGGTGGCTTCTCCCATCACAACTTAAATATTAATTCTATTTTGACTGCTGTGGGAGATGAGCATTTGATGCATTGTGTGATCCTGGAACGAGCAGTGTCGGTTGAAGTGAAACATTCCAGCAGCCTTTGATGTTTTGATAATGCCTATAATAAAATATTTATTGATAAATATGAATGTGTATTTGGAGAAATAACAATAGAGATATATTTGTGGACAACTGATATTTATAGGAAACAAAAACATTGATTCTTCTGGCCAAGTGCTCATCTTGCAATTTTGAAGTCTTATTTTCTTCTCAGAAATGAGAAAGAGGAAACCGGTGCCTCTGGAGGGGATGGCACTGCGAATCCCCAAAATAAAATCCAGCACCTCTGCAGTGAGGCGGGACTGGGACGGCTGCAGGGGGATGTTGTCACCTGAAGCCTTTGTGTTTTCAGGTAAATTGTCGTAGTTGCAGATGCTGCCTTGAAAAATCAGGCAAACAGCTGAGTTTCATTTTCCTTCTCAGCTCATAATTTCCTTGTATGCCTTATAAATACTTTTCGTTCTGTGCTGTCACTTTTGGTTAGTAAAAGGCGATTTAACAAGTGCTCCCCTGGAATGCGTTTTAATGCATTTTATGCCGAATGACATTAATGACTTGACTTGTTAATATTTTATTTAATGGATATAGGGGTGCGTTCAATTTTACATGAGCGCCTGTCGTGATGCAGGGTAGGGAATGCTGATGTGCCGTGAGGGTGCCGATGTGAATACAGAGCACAGCGTTTCCCTGCGCAGCCTGCTGGGCTGGGGACACCTTCCCATCGCCACCGGTCTGCGGAGCCGGTGCGCGGCTCCAGCACGCTTCGGGTGGGTGCGATTTGTGAAATCGGAGTTTCAGCCAAGTGGGCAGCTTGGGTAAGCTCCGGTGAGATCCAATACTGTGATTTTTGGTATTCTGGAGGTGACAGTGGGCTGTGGTTTCAGCCTGCGCTTTCTGCTCTCTCCGGGTCTCGTTCTGGTGGAGTTCATTTCGTGCTCAAGTGCAGGGCGGAGGGACAGGGTCCCCCCTCGTTCATCATCGTGAGCAGCCTTGACATGCTGGTGGAAAAAAAAAAATCAGTGTCCCCAGTTAGGAACTGTAATTGCTGATGGCGTTGCCACCTACACAAGTAATTAAGATTCAATAAGGCTGCTGTTAATGTATGCTGTTAAATTAGCTGCTGAGCATTAGAGCCTGATTACCTTCATTTAAACTATCACCGGTCTCTTCCCCAGTCCCCATCTCCGCTGTGCGGTGGTCACGGCACAGTCCGAGGGCTCGGTCTGCAGCAAGGTGCCACTGTGCGGCGGTCACGGCACGGTCCGAGGGCTCGGTCTGCAGCAAGGTGCCACCGCACCACCCGTGCCGGCCGCACACCGCCTTTCCCATCCCTTTCCCTGCGCTGTGGCACGGGTGGAGGTGGTTTCTGACTCCTGCTGGCTTAGTGAAGGAAACGGGAGGTGCCAGGGTTGGAAGAGGATGTTTAACTTTCTGTTGGACCAAATTCCTGGGTGAGAGATGTATGAGGTGTTGGAGAAAAGCGGGACTGCTGGTATAGCTGGTGCCTGAAGTTTGAAAAAGGAGAAGTGATTTTTTTTGGGACTGTGTCGACCCAGCTGGGGAATGGTAAGTGTGTCTGTAGCCCGTGCGGTTAATTATGGTAAGCATCAACTGATCAAATGTGAGGATGGCCGTACATTACTTGTTCTAAATGAATTGTTTTAACAATTTCTGCAGAGAAGTAATGCTGTGGAAAGTCAAAAGAGACTATTACATGGTACATTAAAGCTGTTCCTGAAGAGCGCAGCAGCCCATGGCAGGAATTCCCCAGCTCTGGTATTTTTAAGCTGAGCCCTTCAATTAGCTTGCAGCGCTCTGTTCAGAGCTTCATGGAAGTGAATCAGTGCAAAGCAGAAACCCGGCCACAGAGACTCTAAAATTCGCAGTTCCCTTTTTTCCTAGGAGGATGGGACAGAAATGACTTCAGCGTCGATGGTTTGCTGCAACGCCAACGTACGCGCGATGTCCGTGGTGCCAGGGGAGTTATTAGGATGTTAAAATACAAAAGAGAGGAGGAGAGAAGAAACCACTCCCTGACACTCAGCATAGCAAGGGAGACGGCAGAATCAGGGTCTGGGAACATGAAATCTGCGTTTACATGCTTAATTCATGTCAGGTTTTGCCCGTCTCCAGGAGCAGAGCCCTGGCTTGCTGTCCCTCGCAGGGACATCCTGGAGGGAAACGGGCGTTTGACGTGCGTTCAGCTGTGCTCGGTCTGTTCGGGGAAATGCGGTGGAGGAGGCGGAGGAGAGACTGTTTCTGTAAATCTGCTCTGAAACCGCTGTGCTCCTTCCCCGAGGCAGAGGAACGATGGGGTTAAATTCCAGCTACGGTGCTGCCGGTGTGGTGAAGGGCAGGGAACTGGTTTTGGTGTTGTCCTGGTTCCTGGAAGAGGCTTCTCTGTTCTCCCACAAAAACCAGCCAGCTAGTGCCCAGGTCACTTCCATATGGAAGGAGAAATAAATTTTTAAAAAAGGAAAAAAAAAAGAAAAAGGGAGAAAGAAACAAATGCTTTTGGAGATGTGGAGGAGCTTCCCCATCATGATGTTCTGTGATTGCAAAAGTAATCGAGGGACGTTTTGGGTGAAAACCTGTCTAGAAGGGCAAAATGGAACATTGGTGTGTGAACGATGACCTGATCGACCACGTGCTGATACCCTCTGCAGAGGAGTGCACCGGGGCACTAGGAATAAATGCCCCAGAAACAGCCCGAGCTCTGCATTTCCCAGGAAATCTGAACTGACGCGAATCAAAACTAGTATCAGCCATTCTCAGCAGCCACTGGGCAGCACGGCGCCTTGGGAAAAGGCCTTTTCTCCGTCACCTCTCGCTCTGATTGCTGCTGCCTGCTGGGTTGCTATTTTTAGATTTTCAGCTTTTCGGAGGCGGCAAAGTCTTGATTTCCTCGTCCTGCTGAGAACTGAAAACACTGTCAGCCTTAAGTCATTAAAATGTAATTCTGAGATGTAAACTGTTAAATGAGGAAGAAATAATTTTCCTGTCTAGTACAATGAATAGTGCTGAGAATAGCGGGTTTTTAATCTCTCTGGGCATCTCGGGCGACTGTTTTTCTCCGTCTGCCGCCATACAGAGATTGCATCCCTCACCCTGGACCCCTTCCTTCACCCCGACCTCCTTTCCCCAGACCCCCCCAGGACAATTCACTTTATTAGAAGGTCTGAAATAGCACGGAGTGAAAGGATGGTAGCGGAAGAGAAGCTCCAATAACTGCCTCAGTCTGAGCGTTGATCTCCAGTAAAAGACTGAACTTTGGCAGCGGTGTAAAACCTGTTACAGTTTTTAAATGAGCAGTTTTTATTATGTCCCTGAATCACCTCCTGTCTCTTGCTTTTTCCACCCTGTGGGACAGTCGGTGGGAAGCAGTTTGGAGCGTTTCAGAGTTGCACGCAGAAGGTGTCTCTGCTCGTGCTGTTCCCCGCCGGCCGTGCTGCCCTTGCAGCCCTGCAGCCCGCTCCGGGCACGCTGCTCAGGTCAGCGCGTCTCGTCTGCAGCGGGTGGCTGAGATGCGGAGGCTGGTCGCAGCGGAGCACAGGCTGGTGGTGCTGGGTTTGGTTCTTCGGCTCGGGCGCTCTGCAGTGGCTGTGCCCAGACTCTGCTGTCACTCTGGGTATCAATCGCTTTGTGGCTTCTGCTCGAGATGTGCGTGAATCCGCTTCATTGCCTGGTTTGTTCCTTCCCTGCAGCCTGTGCCCAGAGGCAGAGCAGGGAATTGGGAGAGGAACGCTGTGCAGACCCAGCGCTTTCCCTGCCCCTGGGGGCTGCTCCTGGGGGGTCGCGTCTTGCCCGGGGTCCAGCAGCCCCTCTGGAGGGTGCAGCTTTTGCCTTTTCCTGACCCAGGGAGCGGGACGGGCTGTAGTCCCCATTTCTGTCACTCTGGGGGTGTTTGTTTGTGTGGTTCGGTTCCGTGCTGCTGGCACCACTTGTCTCCGTTTTGCAACAGCAGATAAACCTTGTGTGCGTACAACCCGTGCAGGGCTCTGGAGCCCCGTCTGCTCCTGCATTAACCCGCTCGGCCAGCTGCACCGAGATCAGCTTCTCTGCTATTTACATCGCTGTAAAATAAAATGCAATACGTTTCCTTAGAAAATCTCTTGTAACTGTGGCAATCAAATAAACAATGAAATGGAAAGCAGCAGAGGCAGCTAAGAGCAAGAATGTAGAAAAAACCCAAATAAACCAGAACTCCCCAAATCCCCCCAAAACAAACCCAACAGAATTCCATGGCATTTCTGCTGTGAATGCGCTGAGATGCTATTTCTCGTTCAGTGGTGCTCAGCTGGCCAGCAGCAAGAGCAACAGCTTTATAAATAGCTGTTTGTTATTGTTATCAGGGCTAAAATTAGCGAAGCAAAGGCTGCTTTGCGGTCAGGGGCTGCAGACAGGTATTGCAGCCAAGAGAAAATCCATCAGGCAAATGAGCTCCTGGCTTCCAGCTTTTGGATGCCACTGGGTAACGGTGCCGGGCTTCCAGCTCTGACCTTCAGCCAAAGGCTCTCGGAGGTCAGTGGTGGGTACATCAGAGCTGATCCCTCTGGAGGAGAAAAAAAAAATAATTTCCCAAGTGATCTGGCTCCTAAATACATTAATGAGGAATTGCCCTGAATTGTGCTTGCTCCCAGAACACCAGAGGAATAAATGGGGCCTCGTGTGCTCGTTAGCCTGAGCGCAGCGATGCTTTGTGAGAGGGATGCTGGTGCTGACGGGCTGCAGGGACCGCGGTCTCCAGGAGGGATTTGCCTTTGAACCCGGCTTGGTTCTGTTTGGTCTGTGCCTCTTAAAAATATTCCTCTAGGCTTCCCTAATGCTTGCATAGCCTGGCCTGGAAAAGTAAAGAGATGGGGTACTGTAAAGAGAAACGTCTAGGGAACTGGAAATGAAATTTGGGATGCGAGTACCTCCTCCTTATTTAGAAGTTTGCTGGGGAAAGGGTTGATGCTGCTTTTTTCCCCCTTTTCCCCCTCCTTTCTTCAGCCATTTTCACTCATTAGCGCTTTCCAGCTGACATTTTGATTCTGAGCAGTCTGTAGCCCACACGAAGGTGTTTTTCCTCCCGCTGCAGCCCCGACCTTGCACCGAAGCACGCGGCCGGCGCCGAGCACAATGCACAATTAACGTCTCTGGGTTTTCTCTGCAGGGCTGAAGCGCAGCTACACGTGCAGCACCTGCAGCGTCACCCTGAACTCCATAGAGCAGTACCACGCGCACCTGAAGGGCTCCAAGCACCAGACCAAGTGGGTATCTCCATGGTTTCCCTGTCTGTCTGTGTCCACCGAGATGAATATATCGATCCGATCGTGCTTCGCACCCGGTAACCTGTCGTCGGGAGCGCTGGGTGCTTTGCAGACAGATATCGGAGGCAGGGCTCGGGGCGGATGAAGAAGGAACGGGCAGCAGTGACCCTGGACGTTAATGTCTGGTCCTGGTGCCTCAAAAATTTGTGTTTGCAGCTTCTTTAATGTGTTAAACCTCAGGAGAGACACCAGGAGTGTAACAGGATTGGGTGTTTCCAAGGGAAAATGTTTGTGCTGTGGTTTGGAGCGGCTACGTGTCACCCAGCTTCGGGACCAGGAGGGAGGCTGCTCTGTCAATTAGTACGAATTATTCAAATGAAGTGATGGCTGCATGGTACCAGAGAGTGGATGAATGAACTAATCTCTCGTAATACACTGACATGTGAGCTTTGGGAACTGTTTCAGGCTGAAGGACTTGGGGCTGCCCAGATTAAAGAGGGATATAAAAGGTGTCATTAGTTACTGAAATACTTTGAGGGCAGTGAAAGATGAGGTGGGATGGTCAGACCCAGCCATAAGTACTAATGTCTAATTTTGCTTAAGCTGCTAAAGGATAAACGCAGACCTTCCCAGCTGGTGTTAGACCTTCAGAGATTCCCGGTATTAATCCTGGTTATTCATGGAGCAGCTGAATGTTTTCCAAATGCCACCCCCTTCTGCACCTGGGCACGCAGTCATATTCGGATCTCAATGAGCAGAAGGAACTGATGGTGTCAGAGTGTCTAACGCGGTGCCGTTTGGTGTTCTCCCGCCTCTCGTTGCAAAGGATGGGTGGAGGGCGCGGCGGTGGCTGGGTGGCCGCAGTGATCCACACACCTACCGAGATGGTTTGTGGAGAAGAGGCTGGGGTCAGGCGGGCGAGACGTGGTTTGGGCTGTGCCACGAGCCGTCCGGGACCTTCAGCAAGTCCTTTCCTGCCTCCATCCCCCTTCCTCTATCAGCACATCTAACTGCCGGCACATCCCTGCTTCCCCGGGTTGGGATGGTGCTGATGGGGTCGTCCGTGCCTGCGCTGGGGTCTGTGTCTGTACCCAGGGCAGCAGACCCCCGCTGCTGGAGAGCAGAGCTGGCAGCTCTTCCCGTCGGAAACCTGGAACGAGAGCAGCTGTGATGTGCTGCCTGGGCACAGAGCTGCAATTTATCCTTCCCCTGCCAGTCCTTCTGAGTTTGTGTTGTTATTGTTGTTGTTGTTGCTGCTGGTATTATTGCAAAGGATAAAGGAGTTCATTTCAAATCAGAGCAGCCTGGTGGATGGGAAATATAGATGTGCAGGAAATATGTGCTACTTCTTTTCAGCATCGGGAGGGTGCCTGGCGTCCTCTGTTTTATACCCTCACCTTCTGCTTCTGTTGTTCCACCACCTGCAATTAGGAGAGCATCATCTCCACACTTAGACAATTTCTGCAGAAGGATAATTCCTTCTGCCTCTGTTGCTTTCCCAGATATTTTCTTCCAACACGCTCTGACAAAAATGGCAAAGACCGAGGATCTTTCTGCCTCCTCTGTTGTTCTGCGGCAGGATGACAGGGAGCGCCTTCGCTGCAGAGCTGGGGATCGGAGGGGATGTCTGGGTGAAGCGTCCGCAGGAGCTCAGACACTAATTCCTGTTCCTGCGCTGCTGCCCGTCAGGGAGGAGACCCCACGCTATTTCAGTGCCAAGGCTCAGTGGCCCTCGCAGGCGTTCCCAGAGCATCCCGGAGCTCTGGAAGCAGATGAATTATTGATAGGAGGGCCCATTTCTCTTTCATCTCGGTGAGGATCAAGCCAGGCTATGCAGGGAACACCAAAGTGATGCAGAGGACTCCCACTTTTTTTTTTTTAAGGACCATCCTCTTTTTGCAAATTAATATTCTTATCAGTCTTTCTAAATTTAGTCTCTTATCATTTATTCATAATGACTTAAATCTGGTCCCAAGAGATTTTCACGGGCATTCAGTACAAGAGGAAACAAAGTAATAAATTCAAAAGAAAGAATGTTACAAATGTAATAATGGGATGCCAATTAGAGACATTCGTCTGACCAATTTCTATGGGAAATTGCTCTGATTATTCTATTTCCTCCGTCCATTGTTCATTCTTACACAATTTTCTTTGAGGCTAAGTACCCGAGCACAGCACGGATCTCTCCAGCGCCTGTAGGAGAGGCAGAAGCACGGGAGACAATAGATTGGCAGCTTGGGCTTGGGCACGACAAAAGCTCTTCCTACCCTGTAATTAGTATGTAACCACATTTCACTCTCCTTATTTAAAACTATTTTTGCAGCTTCATTGTCCTCTGTACGGGACTGAGGGGATGGGTTACCCAAATCTTTTCTCATGAGCTAGTTCTGCCCCCGCAGTCCGAGGGGTCTGCAGCAGCCCCGTGCAGCGCTGCACGTGGCTGGACCCGGAGACGCAGCCCTGCGTGGGTCTGGGGGTCTCATGGCCGTCGCCCTTCTGTTTGCCACATCCGGAGAGGTGACCTTGTGCTCGGTGTCTGTGCAGAGCCAGCCGCACAGGTCGGGCACTCGTGGTCGTAGCTCAGGGAGGTACAGCAGCTGGTACGGGTCATGTTCCTGACTGCAGAAATCATCTGTAGTGCAGAAAAAGACAAAGTAATCTGCATTTTGGGTGCTCGAAATGAATACATCGTGAAAAGTTATTCTACAGCATGTCTTGACTGTTGTACGAGTGACGGAAGGTCCGTGTGCCCTCGGCTGAGCCCCGTTCCCAGTGCAGAGGGATGCGCAGGGCAGCAGGAACACGACCGGTTTTTGTAGCTTCCCACAAGCGGTTACCTCTGCCGTACAAAGGACGGTAATTCTGAAACCCAGACCTGGTACGTCTGCCGCGTTTCCAGTGCCGTGCTGTCCCATCGCGGGAACCGTGGCTCCCGCCGGGGCAGGGTGGAGCGAACGTCGCCGTGCTCCGCGCTGGGGTGCCAGGCGAGGACATGTCCCCCTGCATCTCCTGCATACTGGGCGGGTGTTTTGCCCGCTGGCTTTTGCCATTCTCAGTGTTGTTGGTTAGTGTCAAGACTGTCCTCTTCTTATAACTCAGCCTGAAGCCAGTGGATTGCAGTTGCCAAGGCAACAAAGTATTTTCTGTAGCTGTCCTACTTCATATAATTAAAAAAAAAAAAAAAAGAAAGGAAAGGGGAGTAGTTTGTAAAGGAGAGGGATTTTGCTCTGGGACAGGTTAGCAGGGAAGGTGATTGCAGGCTGGAAGCTGATAGCACCCAAAAAATACCGGGCAGATGAGTCTTGTGAAGAGCTGCTTTGGGAGAGAAGGAATGAGCCGAGTTGTGGATGTTTATCGTTGTTCCTGAGAGCTCTCCAGGGAGCAGCACACAGCCGAGCCGCTGCTAGACTGCCTTGAAATAACCCCCATATAGCAGCCCTTGAACTCTGCTCAGCAGCCTGGATTTGTTTGACCAAAAGATGGGGAAAATGGGGGCCTGGGGAGGGGGGGAAGCCAGACGTGTCTTGTCGGGTATTTTGGTGTTGACTGAAGATGCAGGAGGAGGCGGCGGTGGATATTGAGCTAGTCCTTATCCCTCTGGCCAGGGATATGCAGAGCAAGGTGATGTCTGCTGGCTCCAGGGTGCAGGTACTTTAAGCTGTATAATGAAGGAAAAATGCATTCTTTTTTTATCCTGTCATAAAGTCAGGAACTGGGGCTGGAGTCAGATACAGGAGAATATTTCTTTTAAGGCATCACGAATCTGGCATCCAGTCTGCTGGCGTCAGGGGTCGGGCAGCGTTCATCAGCGCTCCGATGGGAATGTGCCTTTGCCTGGAGCAGCTGAAATGTGAAATGTCTGAGCAGGGCAGAGCTCCCCGAGATGTCTGAGCAGGGCAGAGCTCCAGCCCGGGGCTCATCAGCCAGCACACGCCGGCACAGAGGCAGGTTTTGAAATGTGGCCGGACTCTGGAACATCTGCAGCGGGGAGGAGCGCTAAACCTTTAATTAGGGATTTATGAACTGTGTAGAGATGATTGAGTCATTGTTTGACTTGCTTTCCAGAAATAGAAGTGGTTTTGTTTTATTTTTTTTTTTTAATCTCCCCTTCTCCCTCCCTCCTCCCCGCGAGGAACA